AAAAAAAAAAAAAAAAAAAAAAAAAAAGGAAAGAAAAATCATCAGACACTTTGATCCTTTCTTAGGCAGTGGTACCCAAGTCCTTTTGTAATTATTGGTTAGGTGTTATTCTTTTTCTTATTGGAAAGCCTTTTTATAGGTTATTTTTTCATGTGGGCTGTGTTTTTCTGAATGCCCTCGTATATCCCTTCACTTGTTAATGAAAGTTTGGTTGCTTAAAAGATAAAAAATTAAAGGCTAAAGTCTAATATCACTCTCTTTTTGTACTCATTGTTCATATAGGTGGGCTGTATAATCCCTCCTCCTATTCCATTTGGCATGGAAAACTCTCTTTAGTACTCCAAAAATGTTCAAACTTTCTTGTGAGAGCCTGCTCTTGGCAGCATTAATACCCATGATGTGTGAGTGAAACAGAATTTGGATACTCAAAACCACTTATTCCTCTCATCCCCTTGTGCTGGTCTTATTTGGTCCTTTTTATTGCATATTCTTGGCATCTCCTCCCTCACAGATTGACGAGTTTGCTTCCCATTTTAGTAAAAGGTTGTCCTTTAAAAAATCCAAGAAATTCTTGTGACTTCAACTTCTGAGGGCAAAGGCTTCCTTTTGGTTAACGTGGTTAGAAAAAAAATAAAAGAATATTCAATGAGAAAAAATCTTTTAGATAACTTTGGGAGAGTTCGTTGTTTGCTGCATGAACAAAAGTGTTATCAAACCATATTGTTTCTTCCTTTTAGTAGTCTAGTACCAGAATCAAATTTTCCTATGAGCTAACGATTCACCAAGCTGCTTGAACTTATTGAACCAGTCGTTTGTTCATACAAGGCTCTATCACTTGGATTTAATCTCTTAACCAGCCCATAATGTGGAGTAATCCTTCAATTTGTTGTCAACGAGAGACTATATGTAACAGCCTAAGCCTACCGCTAGCAGATATTATCCTCTTTGGGCTTTCCATTTCGAACTTTCCCTTAAGGGAGAGGTTTCCACAACTTTATAAATAATGCTTCATTCCCCTCTCCAACCGACGTGGGATCTCACAATCCACCCCCCCTTCGGGCGCAGCGTCCTTGCTGGCACTCGTTCCTCTCTTCAATCAATGTGGGATCTCACAATCCACCTCCTTCGGGGCCTAGCGTCCTCGCTGACACTCGGTGTCTAGCTCTGATACCCTTTGTAACGGCCCAAGCCCATTGTTAGCAGATATTGTTATAAATAATACTTCGTTCCCCTCTTCAATCATTACGATGTATATGTATATTAGATTTTCTTATAAAGAGAAACTGCCTAAAAATGGCTACAATGATGATATACAGGTGGATCTATACCTGCTGCCACAGCCAGCATTCCCAACAGGTGGACTATACTTCAAAAACCAGTCATGGGTTCAGGAAACCAAAGGAATGCATGTTATAATACACAATAATTACATCACTGGCTTTGAGAAGAAGATCAAACGTTTCAGGGAATTCAACCTGTGGTATGTGGATGATCATACTCTTGAGTCCCCTCTTGGTCGAATATGAGAAATTATTAGGCGTTATCAGTGTTCTTCCTGCATCACAAGGTACACTCTTTCAGAACTGTGTGTAGCCTGAGCAACATTTAGTTCAATTTTCCTTCTTCCTGGCACAGTTCTGTCAGCCAAAACACATGTCTAAATTTGGTTAGAGCTATATTTCATTCAAATTTGTTACTATCAAACGTTTGATCGTCACGTCATTCGTTGAACATCGAACGTTTGATCTCTTGCTCGAGAGTATAGTTTTGCTTTTTGCTGTTTGCTTTCGTAGTGCTGCAGTGGGTGGAAAAGATAATCATCTTACTGCAGCTGAAGTAGCTCTATTATTGTTCATCAACCTTCGGTTGGAGCTATATTTCGTTCATAATTTGTTATAACATGTAATAAGATTATCATCGTCATTCGTTGAACATTTAGTTTTGATCGAATAATTCTTCGAACATTTGACCTTTTGTTCGAGGGTATATGTTTTGTGACGCCTGATCAATCATATATGCTTTTTGACACTCGAATTAAGGTCAAGTTGGCTACTTTGAATACGTCAAGTACTCGACGGCGTACTATTTGTATATTTAATTATTTACTTGTTTATTATTAGATTTCAATATTTAATTACATAAAACAAAAATAGAAAATGAAATTTCATTGATTAATTACAATAAAAAGAAGTGTTTCAAGCCACAGGTTCCAGCTGGATTTACTTTCATCTTCCAACCAAATCCACCTAAAATTTTGCTCATTTAAATAAAGTCCATTTTTGTTTATTTCACTCATAAAAAAATAATTAAAATAATTTTTTATTTGTTTACACGTGAAAGACGTGTGAGTTAAAAAAGTTGCTTCTTTTATACTTATTGTGAAAAGAAGTCCTTGTTACATGTGAGTTTGGTATATAAAGTATGTCAATTTTACATGTTAATCAATGATATACATGCTATGAAGCGTATAAATGATATGCTTATAGGTGTTCGGTGGGTTCAGTTGGGACATTTATTTAAACCCGACCCAATTATTCGTAAATTTTTTCAACCTAAATAACTTTTATTAAATAATAAAATTACCCTTGAGTTGGATTGGTTTCGATTAATAGTAAAATGCTAGTTCGTAAAACATTAATAAAAATAATAATTATGAAATTAAATAAAAGTAAAATAAATATGTAGATACAATTGTAGTGTACGACTTTGTTAAAATTAACAATAAATTTAGGTTGGTTTAGTTCAACCTAATCTAGTTTTATGAGAGCTCGTGAACCAATGAAGTTTTGATTTATTTAAACTCAACCCAGCCTAAACTAATAGTAAAGTAAGAAGTACCGACCATTTTGAAAGTTTAAAGGTATTTTTTAAATAAAGTACTAACAGTGTCTATCCAAAACTAAACAATAATGGTAATTTTTACGAAAGTTTTAAGTATTTTTTAGTTTTTTTTCGAAAGACTCTCGAAAGTTTATGAATATTTTTTTAAACGTTTGAAAATATTTTTATTAATTTAACCTATTTGACAATTTAAATTTTTTTTAAATATGACAAAATAGGTGAAATTTAAAATTTTATTTTATTTATTTAACATTCATGCAGGAAGAGAAATAATTAGGTTATAAAATACACGTTAAAACTGAACGTACATAAATGAAATGAGATCGGGAGCAATCTTGGAAATAAAATGCCTAAGAAATAATATAATCATAGAAACTCCATAGTCACGCGTGCTTCGTTTGGATCAATTACATGTTGAGTGACCTCCTGAAAATTTCTCTAGGATGCATGTGACGAGGATAAAACATGCTGGAATGACTTGTAGTAGTTTGTGAGGATAATCTTTACTCGTAGAAGCAAGAAGCCACAATGGATATAGGGGAATGTCGGCCCATCAAGTACCAAATCTAGATTATTCCTAAGATGCATACGAGCGAGGATAAAATGATTTATGTTGCTTTGTGAGCATAATCTTCAATCTCAAAAGCAAGTAATAAGTAACACGACCATATTGCTGGAGATGCATAGGAATGTCACGACCATGATGACAAAACAGCAGCTATTTGAATTTGTATGAATAATTTAGACTACCACGATCCTTAATTGTTATTTATATTCAAATCTTAGGTTAACGATAAGTTGAACTAAGAATGATCATACAAAAAATTTCATTTAATGATTTCGACTAGAAATTTATGATTCCGTTCACCTCATTTAATCCAATATATGAGCAAATGAATTTAAATGACTTCTTATCCAAAAACATGCTTTCATGAGTTGAATTATGATATGATACTTGAGGAATGTTGATGTGTAAGTTGAACAGGATCTAAAAATGGAGTATTGAAACAGAATCTGTCAATTTTAGAACGTTAGTTCAAATGATTCACATTTGTTTTACTTAATCACAATTAAAAATACAATAGGAAGCCCCCTTTATTTGGCAAATCCCACCATCGCCATTAAAATCTTTGACAATCTTTGATAATTGAGACCCATTTGGAGATGAACTTTGACGCTACACGACGATGCCTATATCCACGTCAACGTCTTTTCTCAAACCTCGCTCTCTAAGTTAACCAATTTTTACTCAGCTCACAACCATCCTTCCAGTTTTTTTTGCTCTGAATTTACTGCCTCCTCTACTCTGCTAAATCTATCGCACCCCAGTTAAGCTCTTGTCGGCGATTGGTGGGTCATTTTTTGTTTTTGATTCTGAATCTCAGAAGTCCCAAGTTCTTGCTGTGAAAATTGGTGTTATTTGATGCGATTGATTTTGGGATGTTGAGTTGAAGCAAATGGGTTCTCTGGAGAATGGATATCCATTGAAGAGAGACCCGCTTCTTCGTTCTTCATCGATTAGCAGAGGCGAAAGGTACCCATTTCTACAGAGACCCAGATCGAGATTTTCTCGGTTTTTGCTTTTCCAAAAGATTGATTACTTGCAATGGATTTGTACTGTGGGTGTGTTCTTGTTCTTCGTGGTTCTTTTTCAAATGTTCTTGCCTGGATCAGTCATGGAGAAGTATGACATTGCCTTTAAAGATGTGGAGAAAAGTTTAGGGGATTTGGAGTTCTTGAAGGAGTTGGGTATGTTGGAATTTGGGGAGGATATTCGATTTGAGCCGTCGAAGCTTTTGGAGAAGCTTAAGAAAGAGGCAAGAGAAGGGGATTTTTCATCTTTCAATAGAACTATTAATCGTTTTGGGTATAGGAAACCTCAGCTTGCTCTGGTAAGTTTGCTACCACAATCTTAGCTATATTTAGGAATTGGTTCAAATCTTTGAGCTCTGTGATGTCTGATGTTGTTGAACATTGAGATTTCTTTTATTGTCATTTTGTCTTTGAAGGTGTTTTCAGATCTGTTGGTTGATTCTTACCAAGTTCTAATGGTAACCATTGCATCTGCTCTGCAAGAGATAGGATATGCAATTCAGGTAATTCACTGAATGCAAGAGTTTTTACATATAGCCTTTTTTACTCTCAACTTCTGTTATGCAGTTTATTTTTTTGGGGGATTTGTGGGGATGTTTGAGGGAAGGTGTATGTGTGAGATCCTCCATCGGTTGAGGAGGAGACCGAAAGAAAGAAACATTCTTTATAAGAGTGTGGAAACCTTTTACTAGCAAACGCGTTTTAGAAACCTTGAGAGGAAGTCCGAAAGGGAAAGTCCTAGGAAGACAATATCTGCTAGTGGTGGGCTTGGGTCGTTACAAATGGCATCAGAGCCAGACACTAGGCGATGTGCCAATGAGGAGGCTGAGCCCTGAAGGAGGGTGGACACGAGGCGGTGTGCCAGTAAGGACGCTTGGCCCTAAAGGGGGTGGATTGTGAGACTCCCACATCGGTTGAGGAGGAGAACAAAATATTCTTCATAAGGGTGTGGAAACCTCTCCCTAGTAGACACGTTTTAAAAACTTTGAGGGGAAGTCTGAAAGGGAAAGCCCAAAGAGAACAATATTTGCTAACGGTGAGTTTGAGCTGTTACAAATGGTATCAGAGCTAGACATTGGGCGATGTGCCAACGAGGAAGCTGAGTTCCAAAGGAGGGTGGACACGAGGCGGTATGCCAGCAAGGACGTTGGGCCCTGAAGGGGGTGGATTGTGAGATCCCACATCGGAGAGGAGAACGAAACGTTCTTTATAAGGATGTGGAAACCTCTCCCTAGCAGACATGTTTTGAAAACCTTGAGGGGAAGCCTAAAAGGAAAAGCCTAAAGAGGCCAATATCTACTAGCAGTGGGCTTGAGCCATTACAGTAAGCATGCAGCATGCTGTATTCTGGAATTTCCTATTTCAAATATGTTCAAGGAAAGGATATAGAACGACGACGACATTGAAATATAAAGGCTGTATAATTGTTGGCTACTCCTTGTTGCAGGATGTGGACTAAAAACTTGGTTTTGGGAAGGGGCTTTCCATTTAGTTCATCAATCCTTACTTTGATACTCCCTTCATTGCTATATCTTGGAATGCTCGATACGCTCTTCATAGTTATATATTTGAAACTACATCTTTTCCTCATAATAATCATGTTCATTTTCTTCAATGTTATATATTCGATACGCCTTTCATTGTAAGTAGAAGTCTAGAACTAAGTTCAGCAGCTTAAACTTGCCGTGTTTATTTTACATGATATCCGTCGAGGAGATTATCTAGACCAGCATATAATTTGATATCTTAAGTTTTTGCTTTACAGGTTTATTCTCTTCAGGGTGGACCAGTGAATGATGCTTGGAGGCACATGGGAGTCCCAGTTACTCTAATTCAAACCTGTGATGAGACCGAGGTCATGGTTGATTGGCTAAAGTATGTTAACGCTACTCGTCACAGTGTTTTGACCTTATGACCTTTATTTCTACAGCATTCGATTAACTAAGTTACGTATTGTTTCTAAGTATGTTTATGATGTTATTTCCAGCTATGATGGCATACTTATGCACTCTCTTGGAGTGAAAGACGTCTTTTCCTGGTAAGACGTTATGCAAATAACTTTTTTGCAGTTAGTTTTGTGTTCTTATTCCACGAACCGATCCATCTTATCTCGTACTAATAGCGAACTTATGGAAATTTGCCAAATTCAACAAGTTTTGTTGCTTGTTACAGCTTCCTGCAGGAACCTTTCAAATCCTTACCACTCATCTGGACCATCCATGAAGAAACCCTCGGCTTACGCTCTCGAAACTACGCTTCAAATGGGTTATTTGATCTTCTAAATGATTGGGAGAGAGTATTCAACCATTCAACTGTTGTTGTCTTTCCCAATTACGCCATGCCGGTAATGGCTAGTTGATATTTCTGTTAAGGTTTTCTGCAACCTTTGTAAGTTTATAACTTTATTGTAACCTGTGAAGTAAGGAAGTTGCCCCTTCTTATTAATTGGTTTTGTTATATGTATAATTACCACAGATGATCTATTCTGCATTTGATAGTGGGAATTTCTACGTGATTCCGAGCTTTCCTGCCGAAGCGTTGGAAGCAGAAACTGATATCACCTCCGATGCTGATAATCCGCGTGCAAAAATGGGCTATGCAAATGACAACTTGGTTATTGCCATTGTTGGAAG